GTCGACTAAAAATGTTACAGTACCCAAACGCGGCTACAAGCAACGACCACGGCAGTATGCAGCTCGCACTGAACGTGTTTCTAACACAGTTGATATTTCAAGCTACGCAAATTTTGACAATCTACAGACTGCGGAGCCATCGATAGTGAGAGGAACACTATAGAATTCCTACTCTGCCATAACAAATCTTTTGATTAGGACACAACACCTGTAATGCCTTCGACGTCTCCATATTTGCTGGAAACTGAGGAAGAGGACAATCTGCCTTCTAGGGATGCCACAACTATAACTTTCTTGAATCCAACCCGCAGCAGTGGTAATTGAATAAAAAGAAAACTATAGTATAGGATGATGCTATCAATTTTTAGAATGCACGAAAAAGGAGAAGATTAGCTACTTCGTTCTTTTTGGCTATCGTCTTGCTACGAATAGTGTAACGGCACGACTCAGAGGCATCGACCAGAGTAGCTGCATTATGTACTGTAGCCAGAACATCGTTGGTTGAAAACTTCACTTCAATGTCCTTCAGCGTTTACTGGCCATTTTTATAAAGTAATTTTTCAGAACTCAAAAGGTGAAACAACTCCATGCTATTCAGCCAACTATGAACCTGTAGAAGAAAAATGTTACCTACACGGGAAACGCTCAAGATCAGATCGAAACACAGCACTTCTGGCAGCAGATAGTAATTTCATATTCGCTGACAAATTCTGTGTCGAAGGCGAGTAATTTCATTCATAATTCTTGAGCGTAAATGGATGAAAAAATTTTAGCTAGAAAAGACTGCTCAGCTGAGACTCCCTACATCGTTTATCCATTCAAACAAATGCACAAGAAGATAATCACCTCATATCCCGGAATGAACTCAGTGGTGGCTTGTGTCGCAGCTTGTATAGATACTAAGAATTGCAAAGTGAGTGGAAATCTGGAATTTTACTTCTCTCACTAGTGTACAATCTTGTCGATTTTCCGATCAATATACCCTTTGATTCAACCGGATTCGCGGTTGGAAGGCGACCGCTCGCAAAGGCGACGCAGTCTGCGTCTTTCTCGCGCTCGCGCTCTCTAATCGTTCCCTAGCCTTCGAAGCCCCGCCTTCCAGCCGCCAATCCTGCTGAATCAAGGGGTAGTGTGATTGCGGTGTCAAGATATGCGGTAAACTTTGTTCGTGAACAAATGGTTACACCTGCATTGCAGGCTACTTGCGCGCCAATTGCCGGCATTGCAGGAGTGAATTTCTTTACGCGAAAAATGAACCGCGAAATCCTGGCACCGCAAATGCACTATACCGAACGGAAAAGTAGACTATAAAAATCTGCTTCAGGCTGTGACGTATAAAATCGGTTTGTGTATTCTACACGGCGCATCTCCAGCCACCGATTCCGGATTGCTTGTGGATGGCAACGAACAAACGATGGTGATTGAAAACGGTTGCCAGCTGACAGCTTCAACCCTCCCTTCACTGCTATCGAATAAATTAGGTAGGCTTAAAAACAATGTTTCCCGGCGCTTGCAGGGATCCCTGGGAGAATATGTTAAAATGAATGTAAATTTTATTTTGCAG